TCAGTGAGTGGGCACAGAGCAGGCTAAGACTGGTCTGAGTCTGTGTGTGGGTGTTTGTACTGACCAAGAGATTATTCACTGCAAAATTTGGTGTGCATTTGCTGTGCATTTGAATAGCTTTACAGCACTATAATTTATACTTATTTTTACTAAGTGCTCAAGCTACTGTTTATTGTGTGCTACATGGGCTGACTTTTACTCAATGTGCAGGTAGGTTCTAAAGTTTTACTCTGATGTAAACCCTAGGAACAATTTGTACCCCTGTGGTAGAGAAAGCATTATGTTGAGAAATTCAGGCATGCCAGACAAAATTATGGACTTACAGACCCAAATGAAGCCTGTGTTTCAGTACTTAAGTGCCCAGATTCCTGCTGAGCCCAGCCAGAGATCCATACACATAAGCACCTCCATAAGGATATATTTGAAAGGCATTAATTGTGCTTCTAAAATGCAAGTTTGATACAATGCGAACAGAAGATGCAAATAGCTACAGATGCACAGCACTGGGATAAATCTTGGAAAGCTTTAGGGAATCCAAGAGCCATTCCAAAAGCTGAAAACTTTTTTAGTAAGAGATCACCACTGCTGTAGTTTCCATAGTTTGCAGCATGTGATTGGCTTGTGCGGGATCTACCAATATAGTGAAGAAAGAGAGAAATGTCAAAATGGATTCTTTCATTTTGGTGATGAACTGCTTGCTCTGCTTGCCAGCATGCAGGGTTCAATAAAAGCAGACAGGTCTTCAAAAAATAGCAGCATAAATAGATGAACTCTTTAAAGTAATATAAGTTCTGTCATCTGGATGTGAAATATAGACCTAAGTGCCCGCCGAAGTAAAAGCTGACCACACATTCCACAGAGAAGTGTTAAAAGTTTTCTCGGAGTGTCTTGGGCTGAGAAATGTTTTAACTACATCTCTCCTTGCCACAACACACAGAATGGAAGCATTTGAAGTGAAACCCATTTTTCAAAAGAAGAAAACAAAGCATCCATAAAGAAGGGCATAGCAAGGGATGAGGTCTCTAGATAGGCACTGCTTTCAGGGAAGCTGCAATTAGCTGTGCAATGGAGAAGGTGAGGTTACTTGTATCTAAACAGCATTTATAATGACTTCAGCAGCTAAAATGCTGATAGGTACGTGTAGGGGGTTGGTTTCAAGATTTCCTTGTGAGACACAAGGTCAGGATTCCTGTGGTCTCCTGTCATATTTAATTCATATCCTCTGGCCTTCTCCACCACGTTTATTGAATTACAGGAATAAAATTCAATGGACCAAAAACAAAAGAAGAGGGAGAGGACGTGGCAAGTCCCGCTTTCTTTTATGTCCCTCCTGCACACCTGAGTTCAGTGGACTTATAGGAGAACATGTTGGAGCAGAATTTGAAAGGAGGGGGAGGTACAAGTTAGCATAACCCCTCTCACCATCCCCATAATTGCATCCAGATAATTTATTGCAAGCAGCAGCCATTTCCACATGGGAATGAGGATCCAATTTCCACCATTCAAGACTCTCCCCTGGTGCTTTTTAGGGCTGATCTGTGCACTCCCTGTGTGTGCTTGCCAGGTTCCTTCTGGTCACAAACGAGATGGCAGCAGAACAGCTTTACAAAACCATTCTTCAGAAGAGCATTCTGGCAAGTCATCACTTCAGTGCTAAGAGGAAGCCCTCAAATATGTTAAAAGTCCCAGTTGGAGGGAAGTGCCCTCTTGGTGTGCTCGTAATGATGATTCCCTGCAATCATCTGAGTTAAACTGATACAGCCTTTATCCTCCTTTACAAGTGGGATGCAGGAAGCAAAATATTCCCAGTAGGCCTGTGGAGCAATGGGGAGTAGGTCTGTGATTTTGGGGAGGATTTTATTGTGTCTCCTCTACCATTACCCTGTTCTCATTGCCTTCAAGAACTGCCTGGTTTGAGCTGTGGATCTCTCTCAGTCAAATCCATACCCAGTTCTGCACAGTGGTTCAGAACCTGCAGAGGTAAAACAGAGCCATCCCCCCATGGGATCACAGCAGCACCTCACACAAATACTCTGATACCCATTAACAGCTTTACAGCATCATCATTTGGGTTTGGAGCCAGACATATGCAAATATGACTGTTGAGTCCGACCCAAAACATCCACAGAAAAAATAAGACAGAAGATGTTTTGAAACTCTATCCTAAACTGCAAGCTCACCACTATTTAGCTTGTGCATTTTAATTTTTGGAAATGTCACAACTGATAAATAATGTATTTTCTTTAAGCTACCATATACATTTTTATTTTACAACTTGAATCTTCTTAAATTTCCAACAATTAAGTGCTCTGCTCACGTACATGGCAGCCTATGGGATGGCTGCCTTTTCACTTAATACATTTAATAAAGGTGACCAGATGCTTTGTGTTTTTAATGGCTTGTTCTGCATCCCAACAAAATGTCCCTGTTTTGGCTGTGAGAGCAGATGATTCATCCTGAAACCCAGCCCAGCTGCCCTGACACAGGCAGGGTGAGTTAAAAACCCACCATCTGTGCTGGAGGAGTGGGCAGGAGGAGTGCTTTGTCAGGAAAACACTGTCCTTCCTTGGGCACTGCACATTCCAGGCAGCCAGTAATCCCAAAGTCCTGTGGGTCCAACCCCACTGCCTTTGCAGATAAATTCAGCACTTACATCCCATCTCCCACCATTTTTCCTTCCTTGCTTTCCCCCTTCCTGAGCAGCCCCTCAGACTGCTCTGCCCTAGGGTCACATGTAGATCAAACATTGCTGTAAAATGGAAGATGCTGCTCCTGGTTTTATTCTTTCCAATTATGTGGCGAAAGTCCTGCCCGTGTGGCTGCCTCAGCCAAGGCTCATACTTGAAAAAGCAGGAGGGATTCATTTGTGGTTTTTGTGAATAATTAGCTGTGCCCAGCTCAGCGTTAGCAGCGCTGCACTGCCAGCTCTGCCAGAGGCCACATCCTGAGCTCGGAACCCCCAGCTCAAGGGCAAAGCCCGAGCCCCAGGCAAAGCTCCCCTGCTGCCTCAGCGAGAGCCAGGCAGGAATACCTGAAGGGAAACCTGGCTTGGAGTGTGTCACTGGGATTAGGCACTCCCAGCCTGCTTCTGGCCCCACAGCCTTTTCCAGCTCCCTCCTCCCTGCCTGGAGCATCCTGACAGGACAATGCCCTGGGGTGGGAGGGGAAGGTTCCCAGCAACTTTTCTGCACAGCCTGTGTTCTGCAGCACTTGAAAGAACCATTGCAGCTCATCTGGCATGCACACGAATGACAAATATGCTTCAGAGGCAATAAATTAGCAATTTCAAGGCTTTACTTCCCCTCATGGACTAATTGCCAGAGATTATAGTATATTATGTGAGAGCAATGATACTAATGCCTAAATATGCTTCAGTGATTATAGAGCTATCCTCAATAACCAAGCTGTTTAAATGTCAATGCAAGAAAGCTCTTTATTATGAGATTAAATATTATTTTGAAGCAATGCAATAGGAACTTCCCAGGCTTTCTGCTTCCACTAATGCTGCCTTGGGGCAATGTATATTGGACAAGGTATGCTTTTTTAAAATGTGTACAGTAAAGGGTCCCTAAATGCTTTTGTGCTGCAAATTTGGACAGCATTCCTAATCAGAAGGAGGATCTTGGCATCTTTTTATTTTGTAGCTGTTACTAACATGCTGCTGCCTTTATCCTACCTCTACTTGTGTATCAACTACTGTATAGAGAAGATAAATTCTTGTTTTCTGTTTATGGAGTTGGGAATCAAACCTCAAAGACCTTTTCTTTCCCCTCACCCCATCTCTAAGTACCACTATCTTGCACAGATGCTTCTGAGTCCAGCCCCTCACACCTAAATAAATTTGTTAATACCTGGCATTGAGACAACCCCTGGAAATCAGTGGAAGCTCCAACCTTCAGGTTCAGCTGCTGACAGAGGCAGAGAAAAAAGTTTCTTTGAGCCATAGCTCCAATTGCACAGCTCTGCAGATGCCAGCTGGGGATCTCAACTCAGGTGTGGAATTAGAAGGAAGAGAGGCAAAAAAGTCTTTGGCATCCCACTAATCTCATACAGGACCTCCCCAGGATCTGTCCCAGCTGTGCAGCCTGTCCCTTGATTTCTAGCAAACTTAGTAATTATAATTCATAATTGTTATAATAGTATAGAAAACATAGATAGGCCTGGGGGGACAGATCATGTAGAATGAAGGACAGAGAAAGCCAACTTTTTGTGAAGTTTGGTGGAATTCTCTCTTTAAAGTATTTTTTTTCCTTTAGGAGGTATTGTTTCTTAAACACAGCCTGCATTTCTCTTCTATGCTGTGTTCCTGAAGGGGAGGAGTTTCATATACAGATAACCAGGGAACTTACTGGCAAGAATTCCATTCTGCCCAGCCTTAGCAGGACTGGACACCTGGATCCATGTCCCAATACTTTCTGCTGCAGCCTGGCAATGGTTAATTCTGAAGTTTTGATGTTTGCATCTTGGCTGGTTTCTTCAGCCATTTTACATCTCAACTATAAAATGCAATGCTTGTTTACCTCAGAATGTGTGAAGATCTTTCTGATGCTCGGTAAAAGACACCTGCCACACAGGCTCAGAAAAGACATAAATTGCTCTATCATTTGTAACATTTTAAAATATCTTCATCTATTAAAATCACAGTGTGACTGACAAGGAACATGCTGAATGGCCATGAGAATTCTTTCTCTGCTCTTCCAGGCAGACAATAATCTGACACCTTTTTTGTTATGTCTTGACTTAGAATATACTATGGGAAACCATATCTTTATCTTTATCTTTATAACAGTAATAAAGTTAGAACAGAGATGTTAACTAAACAACCAGCAGCCACAGATTGACACTGCTCAAAGGACAGCAATGTGGACTTAGCACAGGATGGGTGAAAATGACCCTCATTTGGCTGCTTTGATGCAAATATTATTTCGAATCAGATGAAACCCCTCTTTTATTTTTGCAGCCGCTTTCTGAAAGCCCTCCCCATGCCCAGCCCCACTCACCATGAAGCCTGGGGCACAGATGCAGCTGCCAGTGATGCTGTCACAGTCGGCCCCGTTGTGGCAGGGACAGGGCACCTGGCAGCCCTCGCCGTAGTAGCCCACGGGACACGTCTCGTTGCAGTAGAGCCCAGCCCAGCCAGCCTTGCAGCTGCACTCCCCAGACAGAGGATGGCAACTAATGAAGAGACAGATGTTAATGAGATGTGGGCAGGAAGGAAAAACACAGCCCAGAACATTTCACGTGTCACACAAAGAGCAGGACAAGCCTGGAAACTCTCTAGGGTGGTGGATATGAGCAGCTGTATAATTTGGGATGTGAATAGAGGATCTGGTGCTAAATAGCCCAGCATTTCCAAACATCTGGGAATTGCCACAGCACTGGGTAGTTTACACCTTGAAGTTTATGCTCTTCCATTTTCAAATCAGTGTGACTTGGATTACTGACATCAACCACACCATTAATCCTTACAAGCTGTATACAGGTACGTGCTACACTACTTGGCTGTATTGCAGCCAGCTAAAGATGTTCAGGGATAGGAGAAGTTCCAGTGGGTGGAGGAAGGCAATAAAGGGAGCTGTGAAGATAAACCTGAGTTCAAGGGCACAGTATTTCTATTCTATTCTATTCTATTCTATTCTATTCTATTCCGTCTCATCCCGTCCCATCCCATCCCATCCCATCCCATCCCATCCCATCCCATCCCATCCCATCCCATCCCATCCCATCCCATCCCATTCCATCCCATCCCATCCCACCCCACTGTCATTTGTGTTTTAAAAGTGAGTGCCACCTCAGCAGAACTTTCCAGCAGGCACAGGTAGAAAGGAAAGTGCTTTGGAAGGAAAAACTTCCCTGGAAGAAGAGTTTTGCTGGGAATATTCAGCCTTAGTGACCAGAACTGATCAACAACTGAAGCCTTGGGGTTTTCTCGGGACAGGAGTTAACAGGAGCCCTGGGACTAAGTCACAGCTGTGCAGGGAAATGAGTCAAGTTCCTCTTTGCTGCATAATGAACAACATTAATCCTCTGGCTTTCATTTCTATCCACTAAATTCCCCTCTGTTGTGAGAGCACATGGAGAGAGAAGGAAAAAGGAAAATCGAGCCCCAAAGAGCGGACAGACCCTGTCCTTCTGCATCCCTAGGTGGCACACACACCCCTCTGCTCCTCCTGCAGGAAACTGTTTATCTTTATTGGGCATTCTTCCTCCTCAAGGTTTCCTTAGGGCACCACCTTCACACAGCAGGAGGCTGGGGCTGGGAGAGGAGGAGATGGGCTGGAGATGGGTTAACCCCTGGTTTGAAGGGATGGAGGTCCTGGGGGATGTTGTCTGAGGCCAGCTGGGAGTGTGAGGCTTCACCTGAGAGCTCAGCCCACTCTGTGGCCTCTGCACCTCAGCACTGCACAGTAATGGCACTGGGCAGTCCTCAGTGAGAGAGATGAGAAATAATATTGCCAGAAATCCCGTTTTCTTTCCTCTCAGAACAAGAAGAATAGACTTCTGCAAGGTGGGATCTCTCTCTGGGCCTGTCTCTGGTTTTTTGCATCCTAGAAACAATTTTTGTTCCTTTATGATTATTTATTGTTACAGTTTAAGACTGTAGACATGGCTGAATGGGTTTCTTTACACCTATAAAATTAATATTGTATATGTTAATTTTCAAGGTAACCTCATAAAATGTAATTTCCAACTATGTTTCAGGCAATTTCTGTTAGGAGAGGTTGGTCATATAGTGTTGCAACTAAAAAGGATCAAATTTTCTAAGTGTCAAACGTTTCATCATAAATAGTGTTTTACTGACTAATTAAAACAATTCATCAGCATAACAAACTACCATCCATGACAAAGCAGTCCCTGAAATATGGTTTTCACAAAGCACCTCTTAACATTCAGATGAAAATAACAAAAGCTCATGTTTCCCCCCGTGTCTATTAATCATCACCTAATAGGAGCAGAAAGCTCAACATTAAAGAAGGATTTTGAAATGAATTTTGTGTTGCTCTCTTTCCACTACTACTACTACTACTACTACTACTACTACTACATGTATCATGTGCTTCCATGAGAACTGCATCTGGTGGGGAAATCAACTATTTCAGAGGCAATATATTACCAGGGCAGTTTGAATCAGACTATGACAATTCAGCAGACAATACTACACTCTCTCAGAGTTTTTACTCCAAGGTTGGCTCCCTCATCAGCATGGGCAGCTTTTTTGCATGGGATACAAGCAATGTATCAAGGGCTAAAACTCATCCTGATGTGCACTAAAACAAGAATCAAAACCAAACAGGCTTTCCAGAAGAATCTACTGGAGACAGGGAACTTGGACTCCAAAACAAAGGCCAGTAGAAGTTTGAGGGCAGATTCTGACCCACCAAAGCTTTGTCCACATTTCATGGGACTGTGAGCCAGAAAAATCCGATGCAGATGTTTGGGTCCCTCCACCCACATAATCTTCCCATTGGGGGAAGGATAATTTTGTTAGCAGCTTGAGCAGCCCAGGGTTTTGTTTTTCTCCTACCTCCAAAGCCCTTGTTTGACAATGCAGGTGCCTGATGCAGTGTTAACTTCAGGAAGGCTGAGATTTAGATGCTTTCCCAAACTGCACAAGGCAGCTGTTCTCTTCCCAGTCCTGCCAGGCAATCTTGGCCACCTAACTGACTCTTCTGCCTTCATTTTTCCCATTTCCAAAATGATGCCTTTCTCCCTTTGGAAACCCTTTCAAGATATCACTAAATAGTTCAAAGTTTTTATATTAATTATTTTTTCTCTCTGGTTTGTATGAACTATTCCCCTAATTAAAGTGAGCAGAGTTACATACTAAATATATTGCAGCTCATGATGTAGGAATATTGTATGTGTGTGGTGTGTGTTAGGAAGGTTTATCTTCTGCTGGCATTTTGTACAATCACATTCTGGTCAAATTATGAACCTAGATATAGAACAGAGCCAGGAAATTCATCTATCACCCATCCAAACACCCATGTATCCAGACTGCCCAGTGAATTAAATGCTATTTGGACTGAAGCTGAAATGTTTGAGGCAGAATAAAGCTTGAATAGAAAATACAGCTACATTTTTTTATAAATATCTGTATAATTCCTCCCCTCCTGTTTTGAGTGCACCTTCCCAGGCCATGTGTCCATCTACCATTTTGCCAGCAGGGGTCACAGCGCATGTGAGGCATTTCTCCAGCCCCCAAAGAACTGAAATTAATGAACAATTTCTCTGCAGAAGGATCACTGAAGGATGGCTGGGAGAATGGGAGGGTTCCAAAAGGATCCCAAAGGCAAACCCACCAACATCTGTTCTCCAACCCTTGCTGGGAGCAGCGAGAGAACCTCACACTCTTCAAAGAGTTTGGCAGTGTTATCCTTCATAGTTTGCATTGAATCTTAACAACTTTTATTTTTTCAACTCTCCTGCATTGCAGGAAGAAGCAGAGTAGAAACAAGGAGTGAACACAGGCAGCCAAGTGTTCCTGTGGCTCCAGGCCAAGCAGAGGTGGATCAGAGCTGTCCACACACACTTCAGGGCTGACAAGGAAAGGGTTCCAGGGCTCCTGGTTCCAGGGCTCCTGCTGCACTTTGAAAGCTACTGTGCAATCCCTGGCTTTTGAGCCACATTTACAGCAATAAAAGATTTATTTAAAAAAAAATTATTTGCTGAACTGAAAAGCATAAGGGCATTTTTCACCTTTAATTTTTTTAAGCATCCAATTTTGAGGAAATCTGAGGAAAGCAGGTAAATTTCTCAAGGCAAAGGAGAAGTGTTTTAGACAGCACGGTCTGTTCCAAATTCTGAATTTGTTATCCACACATCTTTCAGCCAAAGCAACACTTTCCCAGTGAATTTTCTGATTTTCTGTTTATACAGCAGCACCAGTCCTCTCATTTTTGTTATCAGCAGCCTAATCCTTATTTTACAGCATTTTCTGTTTTATGGTGTCCATGCTACATCCAGTCTCCCTTACTAAGACGCCTTTTGCTTTAAAGCAGTGGCCCCAGTGAGGCTGCAGGGCTGCTCCTTCAGCCCAGCACATCTTCAGAGCCAGCCTTGTCCAGCACATTATTGACTCAGATCAAGGCAGAACTCCATGGGAGCTCTATGGGGTTTGGTCCTCCCCATCTTGCTGATGTTGAGGCAGTAACTGGAGCCTCTGGAGATCTGCCCATTCCATTTGCCTTTGTCCCAGTGGCTTCCTTCCTTCTCACATCTCTGACCTGGGAAAGACATTACCAGGGGCACAGGGCTCCCCAGGCTGGCTCCACACCAGTGCTCAGGAAGAGGGGGTGCCCAGGACTACCCCAGCTGTTCATTTCCCTCCCTGACAGAAGAACAAGCCAGGATTATTCCCTTCCAGCTCCTGTAGACTGTCTCAACATGGACTTTTTGCAGAGGGGAGTTTTTTACAGGTGTATCCTTCCCTGTGGAAGGACAGTCCAAGTCACCACCACATTCTAAATCACCTAATTGTGGGGTTGTTCAAAGTCCTCTACAAAGTGCCTTTCAGTGTGCTTTGATGCAGAAATTATTGGATGGTGTCCTTCAGTCATTACCATGCTGGAGGTTAGACTAGATGATCACTCTGATTTCTTCAGACATTAAAATAGATAGATCTATGAAAATGGAAAAGCTGATTGTGTATTTCCTACTGTTCCTCCTCAGCTACTCCTCAAAGCCCTCAGAACTTCCCATTCCAGTAAAATCTCCAATAAGCAAATCGAATGAGACAAATCCAGGGACAGGAGTTTCCTTCACCTTCTACAGGTGTTTAATAATTATCCTCCACACCTGGGGATCACAACAAGTAGCCAAGAGCTTAAACTGCTCCTGGGGAAAATAGATGGCTGTGGGTAAATGAGTCACTTTGGAATAGCTCAGTTTCAATATGAACAAACACTCAGGGAAGAATGGGAAGAGGTGGATGGGAAAAGAAATGCACTGTATGGGACTGGTTAAACAATCAGCACAAAGATTTGTTCAGAATTTGGAGTGCCTTTGGAAAAGGTCATTTTCCACCAGCTCTGAGGCTCCTTGGCTCAGCAATTGACAGCACTCTGCAGAGCTGGTGGAAAAGTGGAGAGCTGAAATCCCACGGATGAATGAAAGAACATTTACTGACCTACAGCTTGCTGGTATCTCTTTGTTCCATAACAGCAGTGATAAGATGTAGGAAAAAGGGAGATTTTATCAACAGAGAGACCAGACTCATTTATTAAGGAACTAGAGATTCCATCTCAGCAGAGGATGCTGCAAGGGACGCTGACGGAGCAGTGTTGGGAGGAATAAAATGTTCCCATCAGACAGCAAGCAGGCACAGGCAGGGTGTGTAGGAATGACCACATGCCCAGGAAAGAGCTGGGGGAGGATTCAATCCTCCCCCTTTCTGAGCTCTCTCAAACCTCTCTGAGACCTCTTCTTTTCTCACAGCTGGAAGGTGCACGTCTGTTCTTTCAGGAAAGATCCTCTGGCAAATTCACAGAGCACCTCCCAGGTAGTTCTGAATAACACAGGGTGAATTCTTTCACCCTCCAACCCGTAGTCTTACCCCACCTAACAGACTCTTAATGAATTGAGCACATGGCTGAGACTGCAGCCAAGCTCAGCCTTGCCTGTGGCCTGCAGTCCTTCCATTCTGTTTCTACCTTTATGGAAACAAACAGGTTTCTGCAGGCTCAGGAGGGGTGAAGACACAAGTGTCAGCTGCTGACCATGAGCATATTCTCACCCTCCTGTACACCTGCAGAACAGTTTACACTGAGGAGCAATTCCACTTGGATTTACCACAGTGCTGCAGTGATGTGACATGGAGGAATTCATCCCTCAGCTCCCCCTGCAGTAATTCCTGAGGCATCCCCCATCCTCAGTACAACACAGCACTAACCTTTTGTGTATAATGTGCAGTTCTTGCCTCAGGGATGGTATTTTTGCAGTGATTTCATGATACACAACATAATCAGAAGCGATGGGAGACTCTTGTACAGAGCTCCCTGGGAGCCTCAAACCCTTTGGATCCTGGCTGTCAAACCCAATTGTGCTGGAGCTCTCTTGCTGCACAGGAGTTGTATCACCACAATTACAAGTTTTAAATAATCCATTGTGAGCTCTGACTTTCAGGTAAGCAAAGCCTCACCACTCACAGCTGAATTCACAAGGAAAATCACCTGTTTGTTTCCAGGACTGAGACAAATAGGGTGTACCTCAAGTGCACAGACAGATTTCCCTGAAGTGTTTGTGTGTGTGTCTGTGTGTGCACACAAATGAGGTGCCATTTCTTGCACACATAATTGAGTGTGTTTTTATTTTAACAGCAGCAAGATGGCAAGGTGGGTTTGTCAGCATCAGCAGAACAGTCAGGTCCCCACCTGTCTGGTTCCAAACTGAAGAATGGCTATCAAGGGCATTTTTGCCTGGGCATCAATTATCTCCACCTTCCCCTGAAGCCTACACAACCCTAAACTGGCTCTGCCTGCTGAACAGCAATGGGCAGGCAAAGGAGGGAATCCAGTGGGAGCTGAGGGGCTCAGCACTGTGCAGGTGAGGAAATGTGGCTCCAGAACATCACACAGCTCAGGCCAGGGGGTTTGGCTGTCCAGGCCCCCTTTACTGCAATACAGGGAGTGAGGATTCTCCAAACAGCAATTCCAGCAGTCAGTAAAACAAGGCAAGGAGCTACTTAAGGTAACAAAGAGGATAATAGGGAAGAGTCTTAAATTCTTCCTTCTTTTCAAGGTTTGGAAAACTTATTCAAGCCTAAAATGGAAAAGCAAATTCAAAGTGCTCAAGTCTGTTTGTGGCTCTGTCTCAGAGTAAAGAGAACCTCAAGAATCAGATCTTTAAAAAAGCAAAAAAGGGAATAAAACATCAAACTCTGACCTTTTAAGTGAGGCTCATTCCATTGTAGGTATAATTCCCTGATATTTATTTTCCTGAATATTTTCCTCATACACAAAGAGAATGAAGAGCAAAAATGGGCTCACATAAGGAGTCTATTTTGACAATGTCAACCATGTTACAGTTCCACAGACTGACTCAGGGATATTGATTTCAGTCTATTTATACATCGGCCTCAAGTGTTTCCAACAAGGTAATTTGCCATGAGACATCAGCTGAAGCAAATTAGGTTTCATGTTGAAAGTCCCCTTGCTGTCTATAGATCTAACAGGCAAATCCATGTCATAAAAAAGAGGGAAAGTGATGGATCTGAGTAAATATGTATCTATTTTTTAAACTTCATTGGGTTATTATCCACACATATGAGCATCATCTGGTGGTTCTTATGCCTGGAGGATTTACAGGATAAAGCTGTATGTCAGGCTGTTTCAGGTGTTACAGAACTGTAAACAGATCCATGCTTAGTATCTGGCTGGACTGAGGCTTATGGTTCCAAACCTGAGGTCGTTTAAATCAAAATTTTGCAAACCAGAGAAACCCTCTGGGTTTGTACTTAAAACTGCAGAGAAAAGGACAGTAGGTGTAGTTAGCTGAATTTTTTCCCAATGCTTTTATTGTACCAGTCCCTGCGCTAGAACATTACACGATGTACATACCTGAGGGTGTTGGTAACATTGCAGGGGCATCTCCTGTTGCACTTGAGGCCATAGAAGCCTTCAGGACACATTCTCTCCTGGCAGTGGATGCCTTTGAAGCCAGGGTCACAGATACAGGCCCCGTTGACGTGGTAGCACTTGGCGCCGTTCTGGCAGGCGCAGGCATGCGCGCACTGGAAGCCGTAGGTGCCGATGGGACACTCCTCCTGGCACCTGCCACGGCACAGGACATGGACCAGTTACACCCACAAGGCCAGCAGGACACTGCTTTCACACAGGAACCTCTTTGTTAATGAACTAAATACCACCCAGAGCAATCCCTGCTCATTTATGGAAGCAGCACTGAACTGATGGCATCACTGCAGTGATGGGGTATCTTGGGCGTGCAAATTGCTGCTGAGAGAAACTGCACTCATCCATGCCCAATTACAGCCTGCTAAATTTGCATCAGTTCATGTTACCTTCATTCACAAAATGCATTCTTCTTTCCTGGACCTTGACAATTGTGTTCATCAATCGTAAGAAACTGAGAGGCAATAAAATATTTTATTATAAAACCCTTCACCTGTTTGACTTCTCTTTATCACAGGAGTACTGTGTACCTCCCTTGAATGGCCCTCTCAGTGATGAGGAGGGATAAAAGGGAAAGTGTATTTAGCAATATTGAGCAAAATGTTTCCAGCAATGCTTTAGTTTTACTTGCCCTCTTTGTTGACATTGCATCAGTTTTATACCAACAAGGAGAAAAGAAACCCCTTTGTGTTTTGAGTGTGTTCTGAGTAACTAAAAGCTTAAATTTGCTATTCTTCTCCTACTCCAGGGTAGCTCAGTAGTCTAAAATCTCCATAAAAATCACTTTCATGCTCCTTAGTGGAGAATCTTCTTAAAAATTGCCAACATTTTTAATATTTGATGCACATAAAATTGGAACCTGCAAACACTTTACACAGATTGTTTTAAATTGCACCTTCCATGCACTGATAAAAATATCTCCCTACTTGGATATGTTCTGAGATTGCCAAAAAGTCTGTTTCCTTGTCCTACACAACCAATTTAAGAGTTCAGATTATTTCCTACTTGGAAAAGCTCAGCTAAGGTCCTGAAGAAAGCAACTGATTGTGTGCTTGACATAATTCAGTGGTTTCAGAATTCTGCAATGAGTCAGTACCACAGTTTACATGATCCACCGTGAAATACAGATAGGCCTTTTCAGTTAATAAAAACAGAAAAAGAAGCCCAGAAAAGCCCAATTCCCTTATCACATGGATGCCAGGCATTGGAAATTGCCTATCAGCATTAATTTAAGCCTGAGCATTGATTAAAGTGTATACTGTAAACTCAGTGGATGGAGGCAATTGTTAAATGTCTTTCTGCAGGTCATTTCACAGCTGGCAGGTGAGAGTTAATATAATGATCAGTAATAAAAGATTAATGTGTGATGCAAGCCAGGCAAAACTGCAATGAACACAGGCAGTATATAAGAAGGGCATTAGTTTTGCAGCTTCAGATTATCACGTTTTACTAAAAATAAATGAACACAGCAAAGGGCCTGGCTGGTGATTTAATTCCAGCAGGCACCGACGCAGCTGCTGGTTGCAAATCCGAGTTGAGGAGTTCATACGAGACCCACAGTGAGAGGAGTTTGGGACAAAGAGGGAAAGAGTCTGGAGAGGCACCAGAGAGGGTGAGAGAGAGAGAGCCCTGCTGCTCTCAGGGGGTTCAGCTGCAAAGGAAAGAGCCAGCAAAGAATGGGAACAGTGGGGCTGGAACACTCGTGGCAAATGAAATGCAAGGAGGAACAATGAAGCTCCTCATGTCCCCACTGCTGCACAGACCCTGAGTGAGCAGGAGAGCTCTGAGCTCCACGGGGTGAATTCTTAGTCAATAGTGCACTGTATCATTCTATATTTATAGAAGATGAAGCATTACCTAGCAGGGAGAAAAGCATCTGGAAATGAAATATTGACGACCTAATCCATTTACATAATTAGCCTTTTTCTACTAACAATTTAACCAACTTATTTATTTGGAGATCAAGCAGCTACTGCTAATGAATTTTATACAAAGAATACTAATAATGACTCCTCTGGAACATGAGAATAATCACAGCAGGAATTAGCTCTCTACTTAAACATCTTTCCTTTGCAACATATCAATCTAATGTGTCCATAGCACCATTAACAACCAGATACATTGTTCAATTAAATTACAAAATGAGCTGCTAAGCCCTAGTTATGTTTCTTGTTTAATTTACATTGCTTTCTGCCTATCTGGGGAGATTCGTATTATAATATCCACTGAACTTTAATATGTACCATAATTATTTGGGTTGGGATAGGATAATATGGCTGTCACCTGTAGAATTAATGGAAGCAATTTCACAAAATATTAAACAGAAGACAGCATGCTTAAGAGATGAACTTAGAACATACTCCTACATTTCTCCCCACAATTTTATTTTTTTAAGAAATAATACTGCCAAGTTTTTTAGGCCGTCCTCTTTGTTTTGGAACAATGACCACGTTTATGTAGCACAGACAAATATGAAAAGCCAAAATGCACTAACCTGGAGATAAGAGATACAAGTACAAACACGACAACAGGAGAGTAAATCTGCCCATATAGTTCTAATAAATGTGAGATTTATTCTGTTAAGATTCAATCTTTCGATTTAAGGGCAATATGGAAAACAAAGCTAAACCAGCATGTTCACTTTTCCTGTGAGCCACTCAATTCTGAAACACTCCATTCTCAGCTTCTAACTGTGCCTCTGCTATTATTCCTTTCCAGTTTGTAAAACACACATTTCCATGACAGATCCAGTCATTTCAGTGAACACAAAGCATCCTGCAGTTATTAACAGTGCTGCCAATTTCCTAGAGATTTAGTGCAGTGCCACCCTTGGAAAACAGGTAGGGAACAAAAGTGTGGCAATTACACTCACACAGACCTTTATGACCATTTCATCTCCACAGATATTTATCTAACTGTGTGTTATTATCTTCTGCACATGATGATGAACTGGAGCATTATATAGTACTTATTGACAATTTTAAGATGATAGTAGGTAAAATGTATTTATGTCTTTATTGCTGTTATTCACAGTATCTGTCATTATTGATATTTTTTTCAATGCCTTGTAAAATGTTAAAGCAGGCAGTGTTTTGTTGTGTAGCAGATTTTCCTGCTCTCCTTTTTGCTGTGACACTGCAACAGCTGCAGGAGATGCAGAGGGTGAAACAGACTCTGAGCTAAGCTGGAGCTGCCTGGTCTGTCCCATTGTCCCTGTGGTGTGAACACAAAACCAAGGACAGACACTCAGACTCTTTAAAGACCTTGTCCCTCACAGAACTCAGTGGGCCCCCAGGCAGGTGAGGCAGGTGTGTGCTCAGAACAAACCAGTACAGCCAGTACAAACCAGGGCTGCCCAGTCCCGAGGAGCAGCACAACTGCAGCTGGACACAACAGACCTGAGGTTTCCCCTCCCTTATGGAAGGAGGATTAAAGGCTGAGAGATGAACATGCTTTGATTTTGCAGGAACCTGTTGGAAAGGTGGGAATTTCTAGGCTAATCCAATTTTACCATGCTGCGGCAGAGCTTTCCTAACTGCCTGTTTACCTTTTCAATCCTCTTCTCATTCATCCTTTCACACACCTGCATTTCTGCTCTCCTGCCTCTCCTCTCAGTATCTTTTACTTCCCTGCTCTGGGATGGGGAAGGTGAGCCATTCCCAAGGGTTTTGCTTGGATGCAGGTCCAGAATGTGACCTTCCCTCACTTCTTTTCCACTTCTCCCAACTGATTCTGCCTTATTTTTTTTTACTGTTTCTCTTCCCAAGTTACGTCTCTCTTTAGAGTCTGAATGTCTCTCACTTTTGTCCAAGTACAGACCTCATGAGTCCACACTCCCTTTGCTCCAGGACAAGCCCTGTGAGCTCCTGCCATGTCTTCCCTAAGGTGCCTCCTCTGCCCAGTCTCTCCCTGTGCTGCCTCCTCCAGCCCCTCTCTGAGGGCAATCAGCAGTAAAATCCTCTTCCCATGTCCTTTCCTCATCCCCAACAGGATGCAGGCTGCTGGCTGGGAGCTCCCAACAGCTCCAACACTTGATTGCATTGATCCATCCACAGCCAGGAATCCATCAGGGTGGGCAACAACCAAATGAAGAGAGCAAGAGAGGCTCTGTGAGCCTCCCCCAGCATGGCCAGCACTGGGAGCAGCTTGGGATTCAAGTGTGGTCCCCACTATAAAGGCCCAGGCTGCACAGCTGCCTCCTTCAGTGGAAAAGTCTCCACAAAGAGAAAGAGAAACAGGAATGATATGGTACCACATGTCTGGAAACAGTCTCCAGATGGAGAATGGGGAAGAGAGGCACATTGATGTCTTCTCCTCTCAATTACTCGGAAAAAATTAGTATTTCCTCCCTATTCAACCCCATGCAAATCCTGACATAAACTCCAGAGCCCCCTCCAATTATAACTGTCCATAAAATGGAAACAGGGAAGCTCCACGTGCAATGGGAAGGAGCAGCTTTCTGACCCTCCCACAGGGCTGAGGGTTGGATGCTGGTGCTCCAACAACCTGCTGATTATTCAGTGAGGGCAGAGATGAGAAACTCCAGTGAGCTTTGTTGCATAAAAATATAACTGTAGCATATGTCAGTATACAGCTAATAAAAAAGGGAATATAGAGGAGAAAGTGCTTTAGCACAACATCCACTGGTGAGCTGTGCACCTCTGCAAACCCTGGTGCCACAGGTCCTGTGCAAAGAGCTCCTGGGAGCTGCTTTAAGTGCACTCCCCAACCTTTGCTAGCCAGGATTAGCTGCAGGCTAAGCCAGCACGTGCTGCAATCCCTCATTGACTTTGCTGTGCAGTCATTTTGCTGAATCCATGACACCTTGGTAAAACAATATTATCATCTGCTCTGATCGATTCATGGGTGAAGGCTCTCCTTTATAAATTTTGAGGATTTATCACCTTTTGCTGGTGGCTGAGATGGATCAGTGCTACAGCAGCACAGAAGAATGAAGGAGACATTAAACTGCAGCATTGCTTACTCTTGAGGATATTAATTTGTATAAAGATACTTCATTTACATATCTTGTAAACATGTAATGCTCTCTATTAAATTTATCACTGTAAATATCTAAATTAAATTTAATCCATTAAATTTTAAAAGTTATATTAAAAACCTCTGTAAATGGAGAGCATTGCCAATAAAAAGTAATAACATTGCCACATTTATATTGCTTGAAGTGCTTCAGAAGGATGAACCTAATTGGAGCAATAGAAACATAACACCATTTTTCAGGGAGGAAGATTGTCCTAGAAGGGATATAAATATTGACAGTCCATGGTTAAAATGAAAGGCTTTGGGGGTTGATTTTTACCTGTCTCCTATGTAGCCAGCTGTACACAGGCATTTTCCTGTCACGGGGTCACAGTGCCCTCCGTTGTGGCATGGACAGTCCTGGCTGCAGTTAATTCCAAAGGTTCCAGGAGGACAAGGCTGTGCACACACCAGCCCCTGGTAAGGTTGTAGAAAGAGCAATATTTCAGTCAACATTCATAATGCAATAAATTTCTCGATGCAGCTTGGAATTTTATTGTCCTTGCTAAAACTAGATGTAAGTGTAGCAGCAATATTTTATCTGCATAAGATGTGCTAACAACAGTCTGAAAACTCTGCTACCATAGTAAATGCCTGCCTGGCCTGACTCCAGAAGGGATTTTTCTCACCACTGCACACTCAGGGATAATTCTCTTCCTTGGATCTCCCCCACAAACTGCAGCTGGGCTTGCACTGCCCCTTGAACAGCCACACCAAGATGGGGGAGAAGTTGAAGGCAACCAGAGAAGTCTACAAGGCTTCTTTGTGCTCCTGGGGTTTTTGTGAAATGGAGAGTCTGAAAAGCTGCACAGAGAAGGTTTGGGAAGGAAGGGATTGTTGGGAGGTTTGGGGAAGGAAGGGGTTGTTGGAAGGTTTGGGAAGGAAGGGGTTGTTGGGAGGTTTGGGAAGGAAGGGATTGTTGGGAGGTTTGGGAAGGAAGGGATTGTTGGGAGGTTTGGGGAAGGAAGGGATTGTTGGGAGGTTTGGGGAAGGAAGGGATTGTTGGGAGGTTTGGGAAGGAAGGGATTGTTGGGAGGTTTGGGGAAGGAAGGGATTGTTGGGAGGTTTGGGAAGGAAGGGATTGTTGGGAGGTTTGGGGAAGGAAGGGATTGTTGGGAGGTTTGGGAAGGAAGGGGTTGTTGGAAGGTTCTGGAAGGAAGGGATTGTTGGGAGGTTTGGGGAAGGAAGGGGTTGTTGGAAGGTTTGGGAAGGAAGGGATTGTTGGGAGGTTTGGAGAAGGAAAGGATTGTTGGGAGGTTTGGGAAGGAAGGGATTGTTGGGAGGTTTGCATTGGGAGGGTGTAGCTGTGCTGGTTTTGATGGTCTGTGACAATCTCTCCTGTTCAGCCAGTCTCATTCATCCAACCCAGCTGAAGGCTGGAGATTCCTCTACTGCCCTTCACACCCTTCACTCTGCTCCCTCTGCTCTCTCCAGCCACACATCCATCTCTCAAAGCAGCACAGAATGGATCTACCGGAGCTTTAGGAAAGCCACAGGAATTTTGCAGTGGAATATCTACCTAATCCCTAAACAGTGACAGGATGCAGCATCCAGCATCCTCCCAGCTCTTTATCCCCAGCCTTGGAGCCACATCTCAGTCCCTGACCTGCCTCAACTCCACATCCCATTGTATGCTCCCAGTCCTCTGCTCTCCTGCCTCTTTATTCCAGTCTATTCCAAATCCATCCTTTCGATCCTCTCCTCCACCCAGACCCAAATTCTCATCTCTGAGATGTTTCCTCTTTCCCCTCCCTGCTCACCCAGCCCTGGGAGTGCAGCAAAGCCAGACTGTCCCTGCTGTGCCCCTGGCACTGCTCACAAGCAAAGCAGCTCCCAGGTAATCCCTGCTCCAGCTGCTCAGCCCCAGGGCAGCGAATGCTCACCCTTGTGTGGGGCCATGTCTTTGGAAAATTTACCTGCCAGTCTCAGGTGGTTTCCCCCCAGGTATCCCATAATGTCTCTGCCAAGTATCAAGGCCTTACAAGGATTTCCCCAGACTTTCTTAGAAGTTGTATGAATGTTTTTCTCCCTGTGAGCAAATATAAAGCCTGAGGCTGGCATCCAACTGAGGAACTTCAGCCAAAACAAGTCTGGCAGTGCTGGGATCTGAAGTTGTGGTCCTATAATGGAAAATGTTTGGCATCTGCAGCGAGTGGTGCTGCTGCCAGTGCCACCACAGTGCCCAGCGTGAGACAGAAACAGTGTCTGGCCACAGGATTATTTGGGTTTAATTTCTCTGTTTCCCTAAGCAAGCCCTGGGGCCTCTGGGTTTTGAACAAAGCACGTTATCAGGCACAACTTATTCAAAGTAAAAACCAGGAATATAAGGGCTGCCTTCACTCCCTGGGGCTTGGGAAGTTTAGCTGCATCAACAGCCCCAAAGTGAAGAGGCTGCTCTTCAATGTCACCATAAAACAGATACTTTGAGCCTTTCCCAACCAGGGCTATGTGGCTCCTTGGCTGTAAAACAGACAGGTTGGCCTCAGTTCAAGAACTTTCAGATTACAGAGTTACAAACTGGTGTCTCTGGACTTGAGTAATACACAACACTATATATCTGAAAACCTAAGTGTCCATTTATCTTGATAATAAATACTTTCTCCCTTCATGTCTCAAAAGGAACAGGATTTCTATCAACAAATGATGAGAAAGCAATACTCTGGGATGCATCCCCCTGGAGCCAAGAGAATCTTTAGCTGTACTTTCTGCATTAATATGTACTAAGGGAATTCAAAACATCCCTCTCTAGAGGATCAAATGTCAGACCAACATTTCCTGCTGCTTATACATCTAATCAGCAAAGTTCACCCCATCAGCACCTTTTTTAAGGCCCTGATCTCATCAGCTTCTGCTTTTGACATTGTTTCCTGTATTTTGTAGGACAGAAAAGATTTTTTTCCTTCTCCATTTTCACAGACACCCCCACATTTAAAATCCACAACAGAAAGAAAAATAGACAAAAATACAAATGCCAGAATCAATAGGAGAGAAGTGATGAGCAGAATGTGCTGTATTACCACAGCCCCACCATGCCTTGGGAAGGGGGTCTGGGGCCAAACAGGGGGAGTTGCCAGTGACAAATGTTCTGTCACATCAGGAAATATTGCTGCTTTCCTGAGCACAGAGATCTAGTCCTTCAAAAGGGCTTCTGAGAAGCGTTGTAAATGCTAAATTAACTTCTCTCCCCACTTCCTGAGAGCACTTGGAGAATTTAATATTGCAAATGAGAAAGATGTATAGAATTAAACCTGTAAATTGTTAATGAGGCCCTAAAGCAGCCACCCACTAAACTCCACAACCACAAAGGCACAGAAGTGGAAAAAGCCCAACGTGGTGGGATGCTGGGAGCCACGTTCTGTTGCCTGTTCAACAACAGAGGCTGTTGGCCACCATCTCCTGGTGAGGAACCCATGGGGCAGTAAAGTCCCACAGGACACCATCCAAGGAACTCCTGCTGCTGGGAGATTCAGCACTGGTGGGAGGAAAGAAATTACAGGTCATAAAAGAACCAGGCTTTGAAGATGGCAGATCCAAGGAAGAACCTCAGAACCCCAGAACTTCTTCCTTTTAAAGTCAATGCCTTCCCTTCCCCATCCCACCAAACCCCAAGGGAGCTGAGCTCCTGTTAATAAGCCAGCCTAGGAAAGGATAAAAGTTGCAGTTCATCCAGCAGCAATAAAGTCCAAGTGGATTTGCACTTGTATAAATCTAGGGAGAATTCTCTCCTTCCAAAATGATGGTATATTCAATATATATGTGTGCAGTCTCAAGCCTCAAAATCAGCAAGTAAAATTCCTGGTGTCACAGAAACCCGTGGTGTGAAATAAAATGAATGCTGTCTAGCAATCCCATCTCGCCTGCTCCTTTACAGCCCCCTCATGTCTCACTTCCCAAACCCTTCCAACCACCAAGAGTTAAAAATATAGCATGAAAACACACTTGTTATCCTCTCTCTACACTGAATTACAGCTTTTCATTAAAACCCTGGAGAGACCCTTTATACTTAAAATCTCAACATTTACAAGCTGAGTGCTTTTACTTATAATTTCAGTTTCATTCTGCAGAATACTTGATCTTTCTCTTCCATTTTCAGTTATGCTTGTTTCAAACATCAATTGTTAACTCTAGGGTTCCTCCAGGGACAGAGCAGCCAACACAGTTTTCAGAAAAGTCTCTCTGGGCTCCTAAAAATGCATAAAAGAACTCCAGGCTGTAAGGAATTGGGCAGGACTGGGCCAGAATACAACCACAGCTGCTGTGCAGTGCTCTGGTTCTTCTTAGGGTCTGTGCTGCATCCTAAAAGACATCTAAAAATTCCTGTTCTATTCTGCTATTCTTATTTGTTTAGTGATGTTTTAACTTTGAAAAAGAGGAGAAAGCTCCTGATAAAATACAAGTAAGGAAGAATACAGCAAAACACCTTAGATCCTGAGAAATCTTGGCATGCAGGAGAAGAGATGAAAAAAGTAATATTTTTATGTGAATCACTTCATTGATCATTTCTTAGGGGGGTAGTGCCAGAATGGACTGATAGGCCCTCAGAAATATTTTCTGTGAATTGTTTTCCTAATGCTCCAGCACTCAAGGAAAGAATCTTTCCTTTGCCACCACTGGTTGCCAGGTGAGGGCAAGGGGCCATATTCATACTTCTGACAAGTTTTGCCTTTGTGATTTGAAATGGAATAACCTCATCACCACCCTTGCCATGATGGGTGGTGTTAGAGAGATTCCAGCTCTCTAATTAGAGATATTTTCCACCAAAAATTAAGGGCAGCAATGTTGTCCTACAGAACATTGTTGCTGATGTACTGCAGCATCTCATAGCTGGTGCTTTTGAACTCAAAGCAGTTGATGTATAAATGGAAAGGATATAAACCTCTCTCAGCTTTTGTATGTTTGAACAGGTAGAGAGTCCCCATCAGAATTCACAGTTGTGGGATGATCTGCAGGGCTTTCCATGTAAAAATAAAAAATTCAGAGTACTTGCATGCTTTAAAATCCAGCAAATTTGCCAAGAGACTAATTGTCAGATACAGGAAAAATGCCAGGAAGTTTAGTACAGCTAAATGGGATGAAGGCCTGTGAGACTTGGCATGCCCCAAGAGAGTTCATTATTACATTATTGATAAAGTTGAGGACTTTGAAAATGCTTGGCATTGCTTTCCTGACACAGAGGATTAAAGGTTAGGGCAGCTGTCTCTCCGCAGTGCAAGCCCTGACACAAGCAAATCTCTGGCAATCAATGGCAGTGGTGCCTGGGCAAGGACAGGACACTGAACTGTGCCCTGGGCTCAGCTCTGCTGCCTGCCTGAGCCTTGGATTCCCCCTGGCTTCCCCCTCTCCCCTGAAGGGGAACAGGACACTGTGCCTCTGACAGTGCTGAGCTGGGCTTTGAGCTTTCTGTCCTGTGTCAGGGTACTGTGTACAAGGCTGCAGGGAATATTCCAAGGAACTGAACTCACAGACAGCTCTCTTGTCTTGTGGCATGCTGTTATTTTTAAACTCTGTGATGGCACCTACCAGTCAGAGAATCCCAGAACCACCAAGGCTGGAAAAGCCCCCCAAGATGATCAAGTCCAAACATTCCCCCTGCACTGCCAAGGTCATCACTAACCCCTGTCCCCAGGTGCCACACCCACATGTTTCTGGACACTTCCAGGGAAGGTGGCAGGTCCCAAAGTGGTGGCCTGTCTGTGCAGGTGCTGTGCACACCCAGCAAATGTGGTTCCAGTTTGGGAGTTGTTAGAGCCTGGCTGGCACACATCAGCTGAGCCAGTGAACAGTGAACACGCAGCCCCAGCCCCTGGGTGAGGAGCAGCAGTACCCACCATCCATCCAGCAGGACAGGAGCACTCCCCAGTGATGTGGTGACAAACGCCCCCGTTCTGGCAGGGGCAGCGCAGCTCGCACTGCGCGCCGTGGCTGCCGGGGGGACACCGCTCCTCGCAGCTTTGGGGAGAGAACAGAAAACAGAGATCAGCTTGCAGAGCTCGCAGGGGACAGCAAATGAGCAAAACACAAACACAGCTCATCATGGGAGTGCTCATGCAAATGATGAACCCTCAGTAAGGCTCAGCTGGCACTGCCAATTAGCTGAGAGTCCTTTTATTTCTGCTGGGGTTGTTTATGTGCCATGGATCCAGCCCTGTAAGGCTGATGCATGTGTGTAACCTTTCTGCATGTACCAAATCCCACCCATCTCCACAGGACAACCCATAACCATTAAAATAGCCCAGGAAAATACGAGTTGCAGGATGAAGCCTTCAATATGAATTATATGACATGGCAATAAAAGAAGCTGCAAACAGAATAAAAGGACGGGATTAAAATGCTTGAAATTCCTCCAGTCACTACTGAGTGCTAACATTTGCAGTGTATAATGGACTGGCAAGGACTCAACATCATTTAAAGGCTATTTAAGTTCACTGAGTCTCTCTCAGTACTTGTGGGGGGCAATTTTGGGTGTAATCCCTGCAAAACCCAGGGTCTCCTACATCTGCACATCAGAGCTTTCAGCACCGAGGTTCTGAAACGACAGGATGTTGTCCCCCAGCTGGCTGTCCTCTGATGAGAATGTCCCTACAACATCAGGGGCTGGCCCTGCTGGGAACTGACCCCTGATGTCAAGGGGAGCACTCCAAGAGTAAGTGGAGTCCTTAGCAGTGAGTGCTTCCACGACTGAGGTCACAAGTCTAGGAGGAAATCAGGTACTAAATAAAATATTCACAAGGCCTATCACTTATTTATGAGGGTTAACTCTGTCCTTATTTTTTACCTTTCCCTTCATGCAGGTCAACAAATAATAATAGACTGCAAAAGTATTAACTCACCTACAATAGATCTCCCACCAAATTCAGTGACTAAATTCTCTTTTCCCCTTAAATAATTTTGAAAAACATAATTACTTCTGAAGCTACTGAAAGATCTCTAATGAGAACTGATGTTACACTGTGGGCAATTTTAAACAAGAAACTATTGCTTGCTGTCCTAAAATTAATATGCAGATTTTGTGAATCCTACTGGTAAACTTTCCGTGTGGTGGATGGGGATTTAGCTACATGATTCTCGTTAAAGTTAATAGGAGTCACACCGCTAAATCCTTGCTCTCTGTGCTTAAAATTTACCCCCTAGATACTAAGCTGATATAGTTAACAGCAATGCTTTCTCAGTTAGATTGAAAGTCAAATAAATTGGGGATGGAAAAGTCCCATTTGATGCTGCACTGGACTGCTAATGAGGAGAGAGTCCAACTGCTTATCAAAACTCCACTGTAATTTGGATTGTATTCACATTCTGGAATTAGGAACAGGTAGAGTTGTTGCACAAGTTGGAACATATAAATTATTTTTAAGCTTATTTTAGCACTATATTTTATTTTAATAGCATGGAATCATAGAACTCCAGCATGGTTTGGGTTGGAGGAGACATTGAAGCCAGATCCAACTCCCTGCCATGGGTAGGACAACTTCCACTATCCCAGAATGCTCCAAGTCCCATCCAACCTGGCCTTGGACACTTCCAGGGCAGCCACAGCTTCTCTGGGCACCCTGTGCCAGAACCTCCCCACCCTCACAGGGAACAATTCCTTTCCAATATCCCATTTATCCCTGTTTAAGGCCATCACCCTTTGTTCTATCACTACACACCCTTGTCCTAAGTCCCTCTCCAGGTGTCTTTGAAGGCTGCCTTCAGGGACACAGGTATAACCAGCAGTAAGAACAGAGGTTCTCTGAAATCCCGTTCCCTGGTTTCTCCAAAGGCCAGTGTATAACAGGGTGTAAACTCAGCCAACTCCTCCTCGCGTTAAACGCGTCTGACCCACGCCAGTTCAAGGCAGTCCCGGCGCGCTCCTGCCGCACTTACAACACGCCGGTGTAGCCGGGCGCGCAGTGGCACTCTCCGGTCTGGTGGTCGCAGGTGGCGCCGTGGTGGCACTGGCACTGGAAGTGGCAGCCCTTGCCGTAGGTGCCCGGCTCGCAGAGCTCCTCGCAGCGCCAGCCGCGGAAGCCGTCGGCGCACACGCAGGCGCCCGTGATGGGGTTGCAGAGCGCTTCGTTCTGGCACTGGCAGCGGTTGCTGCAGTGGGGCCCCCAGTGCTCGCTGTCACAGCCTGCGAACGCACACGGAGTTACCCACGGGGCACACGGGGCTGCCTCACCCCACAGCCCCGTGTGCACCTCGGCCAGAGCCTTGCAAAGGAACCCTCGCTCCCAAATTGCCCCCTTGACCCGGCTTTAACATCTGCCCGCCCCCGCCCCAGCTTCAGCATCTTCCCCCCGCCCCAGCTTCAGCATCCCCACCCCAGAGCCAGGTTCAGCATCCCCACCCCAGACCCAGATTTAGCATCCCCACCCCAGAGCCAGATTTAGCATCCCCACCCCAGAGCCAGGTTCAGCATCCCCACCCCAGAGCCAGCTTTAGGGTGCAAGGACACAATGGCACCACTGTTATACCTAAAGTTGAGGACTTGTTTAACACCTTATTGGATCAGGCCTGAAATCTTTTAATATCCTGTTTCTTAGTGCTCTTAGATTGCTGGAAGGAATGAATTTATAGTAGAATTAGATGCAGAGGGTCACATCCTGCCTGCAGTGCACTTACAGGTGGTGCTGCCAAGCAAATCCTGTCGATTTAATAATGTCATCAAATATTGTTTCTCTGTTATGTTCCCATAAGATTACATATAAGATAATCTAAAGAAAGCTTTCTCCTTGGTGTTGTTTTCTGAATTATTTATTTATTTATTTACCTTTGTTGTCTGGACTAAGTAGATGGGAGGAAATAAAATAACACTGGAGACAGGACATCCTGAGGCTGCCCAGGCTCAGGGATGAAGGTATGGAGTGAATGTATCAGGTAATTCCTGTGCTAATAACAGCAACACAGAAGGACCCCAAACCCTCTGGCCACTGACATGGAGGAGGTTCCCTATGGAATGCAGTAAGGCACAGGGAAAAACCCTTGTGACAATCCTGCCTGATCCCTTCTCTTTGGAAGAGCATGTGGAGGATGGGAGAGGGAAGTCAGCCCTAAAGGAACAGTTTTTCCTGATTTGCTCTTGAAACAGCTCCTGTACAACACCTCTTTGAGCTGTATGCACTGAACAGAGCTCAAGCAGCACCTGAGGTCCAGGTTTCCTTAGCAAAAAGTCTGCAGGAAAACAAGGATTTCTTCAGCAGCCCTACCCTCCACTTAGCAGCCTTTCACCATAGCTGTGGCAAGGATGAAGAAAATCCTCCTCCTGTTCAGAACAGGCTACTGGGAAGGACACAGCTACTGATGGCTTTCCAGGCACAGCTGGCTGTGCTCAGAGCTGGTTTCAATTTCACCACCAACCCTCCTGCCAGTGGTGTAAATCCCACTGCCAGGCAGGAGAGGAGAGTGGAAACCCAGCAACAGGGCTGTCTTCACAAACTCTTTTGTTTGCAAACATGGAAACTAATCCCAGGTGACACAGGCTGCTTCTCAGCCCTGGATCTGTTTCCAGGATTAGCGAGGTAAATGTAAAGCTCACTTAAGCCTGGTGCTTTTGTCCTAGAAATTACGTAGCCCTCTCCTTCTACAGTACTTGGCTATAAACCCACACTGGAAAACAGCTTCTATCCAGTAATTTTGGCAATATTTTTATTTATTATCTCTCATTTTGGGAAGGAGGGTACTCATTGGTCAATGTGAGGATATGCAGCAGAAAAAGAAGACAGCTCTTAGTTAATTTGCACTGCTGATTACCAGTTTACAAATTTGTGTTTCGTGAGCAAGTGTTAAAAGAAGAAGTAAACCCCCAGAAGACAATTCCAAGGTCTCCAAAAGATCTGCAGGGTGTTAGGGGATGCAGGTGCAGAGGTTGCATGTCCTGCAGGGAGCAGAGCACACCGTGTCCCCCTGTGCATGATCCCGCTCATGCCTCATCCCAAATCCTTTATTGCTTTGCCTCACTTCCCCCCAGCTGTAAACAGGGATGATAGCTCCTCTCTATCACCACTGGGAGCCAAGCAAACAAAATCTTACTCTTTATAAGACTTAAATTATTACTGAGAATCTGTGGGAAGAGATGATCTATCTTTATTTCACATAGACACTTGCTAAGGCTGTGTGAGCCTTCTGGGGCAGGGAGCAAAGCTGCTGGAGCTGCTGGAGTTCCCCAGCAATTTCCATTCCAGAAACACTGATTTGTTTTCTGCACAACTTGAACATCAAGGGATGCAGTTCTGCACCTCCACAAAGGACACAAACCTGAACCACACAAGAACAGCTGATGTCCCTCAGCACAGGAAAGTGGAGTTCAGGGATCAAACTGCACCCTGTGTGCTCTGGGGATTGATTCCTGCCTTCCCACACCTCACATCAGAGCCCAAACTGCAGACTGTGGCTTCTTCTGAGCTGATACAGCTCCAGTTGCAATTAATTCCCCTAATATGAATAAGTAACACTCATTACAAGATATTATTCTATCCTTGCTCTTTCATGTCTCAGGTGGGTGCTCCAAGCATCTGATTTGTCTGCTGGGTTTGTGTTTTTCACTTTGAAAGGAACTGAAGGAAAAAGAAAACCATTTGTAGGAAGGGAAAACTATTTCCCATCATTAGTTCAAGCATCTTGTTTCAACTGTACAGTGCCTCCTCAAACACAGCTCCTTTTCTGTAAGTCCCTCCTGTTTGAACACTTATTTACGAGCAGTATTTGGTCACGTTTGCTTCCTCCCTGTAGCAAATTTTACCCCACAATCTCAGCAAAGGGAATTGAGTGAAATTCGTTAGCAATATGTCAGTGTAAAATTTGGTTAATGAAATTTCATCCTCACCTGATTTTTTACACTGCAGCAACCTCACATGAAAATAAGATCTTTGCTGCTCAAAGTTTATCAGTTGTTGTTGCTTTTTGTTCCCTTTTCTTTTAAGTCCCACATTGCAGTGACTCCAATGACTCCAATGATTGTGGAGTCATTTCATTGGAACATGGGGTGATATTTATATAATGATATAATGATAACTCTGAGATCTGCACTGTGGGACTTCTGTACCTTTAGCAAGGTACATCTACAGGTAGATACAGGGATGATAAGCTGAAATCCAAGTACTTATTCATACAATTAACTCCACTGAGCTCAGCAGGCTCGCTCAGGTGTGAGAGTAATTGAGTGTGTAACTGGCTACAGGACTGGGATCCAGTGGCTCCTGGTAGAGAATTATAAAACAGAAGAAACAAAAGACTTCAGCAATCAAAAGGTATTTTTTCTCTACACATGAGTGTAGCAAATCCTGGCTGGTGTGTGACAGTGACTCCAGGTTCTGGGACAGAGAGCAGAGCAGGTGCAGAGCCATGGGATCCTGCTGCACTTTGGGATCATCAGCAAGGCCTCCCATGAACAAGGAGAGACCATTTTAAACCCCATCCCCAGCCTAGCACAGTCTGATCCTGCTCTTGTTGATTGCCTCAGTGAGTTACTGTAATAGAGATAAATAATAACAGCAACAACATGTGAACAGAGAGCTGATTAAAGCTCACACGAGCGCTCTGCTGTAAATGCAGATGCCATTAAAAATGTCAAAATGATACAGAGACTTTAACCAGACCATCAATAAGGAAAGCAACCTGAGAGAGGTGATGTCAGGGAGGTACAAATGGTCCCCTTAGCTGCATGTGGGGATGTCAATACCGTGAGGGATGAGGCTGAAACGGCCCCTGTTCTCCTGGGAGATGCTACATTGAAGGGAACTGCCATATTTCAGGTACGTGCCACATTCCCTGGCAAATGTGCTAACTTCCTCACTTTTTCACCTTTGGAAATGTGGCTGGAGATGAGCTGTCACCAGTAAAAATGAATGTGGCTCTGTGAGGGATGAAGCTGGTGCCCAAGCACAACCACACTGGTGTGCACAGGGTGCTGTGACAGGAGAGGGATTCTCTCCTCAGAGGAGACTGCTCAGAGCAGCACCAAGGGTTTTCCTCCTATTGCCACTCCCACACTGAAACCTCAATTCCTTCCTGAAGTGAGGGCTAATTCCTGCAGGCTCTGCAAATAGAATCATCAAATCCTAGAATCCTTAAGGTAGGAAAAGACCTCCAAGATCACCAAGTCCAACTTTCAACTGAATAACCCCATGCCTACTAAACCATATCATGAAGTGCCTCATCTGCTTGTTTCTGAGCCCTTCCAGGGATGGTGACTCCACCACTTCCCTGGGGAGCCTGTTCCAGTACATAACCACTCCTGCAGTGAAGAAATGTTCCTGCAGCAGCTATGCATGGCATCCTGTTGGCAGCTGTGTCTGGTAAATACACACTGAGGACACAGGGGAAGTGCTGCTGTGCCCCCCAAGGGCTGCTTTTCCCTGTAGGGATGAGGAGGGAATTGCTGTGCTCTGGGTCAACAGGGACACCCAGCACCCGGTGCAGCAGCACAAGTCAGGCACAATGAAGCAAACACAGGAGTTTGAAAAGGTAACAGATGAATAAAAGGACTCCCAAGGAAGGGGTGACATTTATGGAGTGACTTACCCCAACGAGAGAGAGTCAAAAGTGCAGTTCCAGAGCTTTTCCATCACTGCACACACACCATTAACATGAAAACAGAATCTTCCATCACAGCAGCACCACTACCTGTGGTCTCAAGGTCTGAGTTTATTCTGCTCTCAGCATCAGCCTCCCTGTGGCTCTTTTATAGCCAGGGCCAGCTCTGTATTGCAGGTCTGCAAAGCCAGTGGGATGTTCACAAACATCCTGCACAAGGCACAGCTGAAAATTCCAGTGTCTGATTTCCTTGGCCCAAGGACTCGGGACCATATTGGGCTGATGGGGAACTTCAGCTAATCCACACTTTAAAGCAGCTTTCTACAAATTTGCTAAAGCACAGAACACGCTCATATTCAATAATCAATATTCTGGAATATTTCCAAATTCAGTTTGTAATGTTTAAATGAGATACTAACCCTTAAAAATGCAAACAGGAAATAAAATTAACTTATTAAATCTAGGAGGACATGGTTTAAGAGAGATTATTTTAGAATTTACTTCGAAATTAGAACTAGGTTCTCCTCTTAATGTAACTGTAGTGTTGCAAAATGATTCTATGCATACAAATTGAGGTGAAATGTGGATTTAGCTCTGGGT